GACCACTGTCAGTGTGTCACTGCAGACAGTGCGGTCACTGTCAGTGTGTCATTGCAGACAGTGCTGCTCAGTGTCGGTGTGTCACTGTCAGTAATTCACTGTTTTCACCGAAACTGCACATCCCTAGTGGTGGGTGTGGTTGTGGGGTGTGGGTGGGTGTGTGGGTGTGGGTGTGGGGTGTGGGTGGGTGTGGGTGATGAGAAGATATCAACATTCACACCCACACCCACACCCCATCCTGTTTTGTTCAGTCAAATTTAGATCATTAACACTGACAGAGGAATATATCTTATGACATCAAACGACGAAGTAGAGTTCAATGATCGCTTTTGAATCATCTAGAAGTTGAAATAAACATATCGAGAGTTTATTATAGAACAAAAACAGCAGTACCTAAGATCCAAAAATTGGCAATTCCAGGAAATTCAACGCATGATATAACCTTGAATTACAGTCCTTGGAAATCCTATGGAATTCAAGAAAATTCAAGAAATTTAATGCATCATATAACTTTGAATTATATTCCTGTAAGTTTCCATAGAACTGAAGGAAATTTTAGCAATTTAACATCAGTTTTGGAACCTATGCGCTTCTCAATGTAACATTGAAGAGAGAACGAGTTTCTACAATTTCCCCATTGACCTTCTATGAACATGTAGGTTCTTTGATAATATCCAGAATTTCATCAGAGTTTAGGCTGATGACTAGTCATGTTCTGTATGTTTGTTGAATTTCTAGAATTGCCTTGAGTCTCTTGAATTGTTGGATTTTCTAGAATTTGCTAGAACTCTATCGTAGTTAAGACTTGTAACCTAATATCATATGTACGTCTGTTGCTTTCGTTGATTTTCTTGAATTTCCTTGAATTGCGAATTCGTGGATCCTAGGAGTATCTCACACGAGCAGAAGTTCGTGACGATGTTGATCAACCAATGTGACTTTCTGGATGAAATAGATCGTTTTCAGCGAACTCAATGAATTCATAGTTTCAAAATCAACTAAATAATATGAAATCTTCTATCATGCAATGATGTATCATCTCTTCAATGTTCATTTGAATTTCTCTTTTCATTTCATCAAATTTAACCAATCATAACGAATCCTATTTCTAATGTGAGTTATTAAAAGAATAATTTTTTCTTCTTATCAACGAAATCCATGTTTTGTTCTGTTTTTCGTCAAAAAGAGATGCGAAATTTGCTATTTTCATTACATCTGACTATTGTTGATCACCATGTATGAAAGAATACTTATTGATAGAACAATAGTCAAGTAAAATATTGTTATTATCCAACTATTTGACATCGATCTTAGTAATTCAATAGGATATTCAACAATTTCGTTCTTTGTGATTAACAGATTCCTTGCAAGAAATAATCGGCATGAAGTATTCAATCATTTTTCAATATCGTCGATCAAAGCGCGGGCATGAGTCATTTTCTCAATCTCGACCAATCTCTCTTTCGATGCTGCATTATAAAATTCTAAAAATCTGACTAATAAGAAAATAAAACAAACCTTTCATCGAGTTACAATGTGACAAGACATACGATTTAGTTATGAAGTAGTTTTTTTCTGAATTTTTTAACGAATATTCATTACGACATTTTCGTATCATTGTCTTTCATATCCATAGCAACAATTGCAATACTTGATTGTTTCTAAATCATGTTTTGTTGCACAAAGAGCACTTTAACTTTTCGATGGATCCAAATTCAAATAATTTTTTTTTAACATTCACTTTTTTCTCTAGGATAATTTCAGAAATCATCGATTTCTTAATGATGAAAGTAAAATGTTTTAATTTGATCATAAATCAAAACATTTGGTTAATAGCAGAGTATTCGAAACAGGAATATATAATAGAACTTGGCTAAACATCATTTCTTTCTTCGTGATTAATAATCATTTATTACTAGTAAATATAAGATAATCCTGTTCTGAATGACTTTATTATTCGATCACTTTTAAAGACTATAATGAGAACGTTAAAACGATGCTAGTTTTCAAAAATATTAACTTCAATTAACTAGGAACTTTTGTACTCGATGATTTCTTTGATCACTCACATAGAGATTACCATCTCGATCTAATGATAAACCGATGGGATAAGAGAGTTGTTTCATTTGACTTCCTTGACCACTTTCACCAACGAAGACAGTTCCTTGTGTGTCTCCTGGAGACCAACGCATTATTCGATGATTAGAACAGTCAGCCACATAGATAGTACCTGATCGATCCACGACTATTCCACAAGGATTCGATAATTGTGCTAGACTATTTCCTTGATCTTGACCACCAGCCACAACAATGCCTTGTTTCGCACCGTTCATCCACTTCATCACACGATGGTTGCTATAATCTGATACGTAAATTGAATGGTTTCGATCGACAAACACGTATCTGGGATTATTTAACTGATCAAGATGATTCCCTGGCCCATTACCACCTGCAACTACTACTCCTTGATGATCTTCCATCTGATATCGTCTAACTTCATGTTTATCAAAATCAGCAATGTAGAGAAAGCCATCATCATCCATAGTCGAGCCTAAGCATCCAACATTTGAAATGATTGTTTCTCCATTGGTACCATTTTGACGAGGCCATCGAACTACTCTTTTGTTACGATAATCACAGATGATAAGATTATCTGTTTGTTTATCGATAATCACATTGGTCGGACCTCTCAATTGATTAGGACGATTTCCTTCTCCATTTCCACCAGCTACAACTCGACCAGCCGTCGCACCATATTTCCATCTAACAATACGATGATTGTTGTACTCAGCAATGTAGATAGTTTGATCATCATCAACATTCAAACCCCATGGACAGTTGAGTTGATTCATTTCACTACCTTCTCCATTTCCTCCAGCCACAATGACAGGATTTTCTATTGATTCTGCATTAGTCTTCAGATTTGAACTGTACAATAATGGTGCTGAAACAAAACATAATTTCATTCAAAGACATTAAATCAGTGTAAGTGAATGGAAACCTATATTTGAAGTACAGGACTTTGATCGAAAGAGAGAGACACCAAGAATAATTTTACTCAATTCTCATTTGCATCTTCTAATTAAATGTCGAACTTTCTCTTCTTTTCACCATCATCGAAAAACTTCTTATCCTTCAAACAAATTTGATAAGAAAATGCCTACTACTGATGATCATAGTCAGTGAAGAAAACTTGACAATGTCCTTTTTTCGAATAGATAAATGTTGAAAATAGTTCTAGATGATTGAAATTACTATTTAATTTTATTGGAAATTGATCTGTTAGTCTTCATGATTTCCTGACAATGTTTCTTTCAATCATAAAATAAAAAAAATTTTTGTTTTGAAGAACAAGCGATTAACATTTACAAAAACATTTGACAAAGCTTCATGCAGGCTGATTTTCATAAAATCTCTCAGAGCAACATGCGGAATGTGAGAAAATAGTTACGAAGAACTATGTCAACTGTTTCTAATCATTTTGGATTTCACTGATACGGCAAAAGTTTTGAAATAATTGAGATATATATTCATTCTTCAAAACAGTCAAGAGCAAAGACAAAGTTTTGACAGAGTTCATGTTTTATTGGCTTCTACCGAATCTTAATTGAGAGAGAAAAGAGACGCAAGCAATAGCTTGAAAACCTCAGACGAGTTTCTTGTTCTCGTTCACTCCTCTAATACACGAGTCTTTCTCTATCTATTCTAAAAACATGAAGGAACAATCATTAATTCAATTCTGTGTCACTTATGCTTCATTTGAAACTCGATACCTTGTGTTTATCTTCAATCTCAAAATACAATGTATTTATGTTTCTTGATCAAAGATTCAAATTTCATGTATCTTAGACCATTATTCATGTCAAAATATGATATGCTCTAGTATTTATTGAATAACTTTTGATACAAACATCATAGAAACCTGAGCTTTGCACTATTCAAGGAGTGTGAATGTTCATGTCAGTGGTACCTATATCAGTCGATACCCTGTCTGTTTTCGTCCCATGGGAAACTTTTATAGATACGACGATAAAAGACTGTCGTGTGCACGTCGAGAAAATATTGTAGTTTCGAGAACTGAGCATTATGATGAAATTCAAGCATCGTAAATGTCATATGAAAAATCACCATTTCGATTACATAGAAAACTCTTTTCTAAGACAGAATGAATCGTATCCAGATGACTATTCTATGTTGTGTTATAGAAATTTTTTCGATTTGAATTCAAAATGAAATTTCAGAAATTTAAATTGTGTCAAAAACGATAAGTTTCGAATGATATTTTATAGAATTTTATTTGAACGTTGAGTATTTCTCGAAGTAATTCTAATCTATGAGTGAATTAGTTTAGATTGATTAATAAAAAGAATAAGAAGCGCAATAGAATGACGAAAAATAGTTGATTATTTCGTAGAAGAATTTCTTTTCTTCTATAGCTTTAACTCAAAATACTCACACTTTGGTGGTTCTTCGCGTACATAGATGAATTGATTCCAATCAATTTGATTTTGATTATCAATAACGACTGATCTTTTAATATGCTTTTGAAAAAAGTTTTCAACTTTTTGTTGGACCTCATTGAGTTTTTGTTTAAGATGATCCATATCATTTTCAATAAAATTTTCTTCTTCTTGACGACGACGAATTTCTTTTGTTATTGGTTCTATTTGTTGTATTGTTTTTATTCTTTGTTTTTCAATCAATTCAATAAGTTTATGACGAGCTTTTTCTGCTGCTTCTTCTACTTTTTTTATTGTTGTTTTTTTCCATTGTTCGATTCGATCAAAAAAATCTAATGATGAATAATTTGATTTTTCTAATTTTTGTATTTGATCAAGAAGTTCATCATGTGATCTGACGATTTCATTGTCAAATTTCGTCGATAATTGTTGTTCATGTTCTTTGAAATCTTTCGAACAAAAATATTTTTTACATCCAACGCAAAAACATTTAGCTGAAAATTTATTGCAGATTGAACATAAATTTGATTCATTTTCCGTCGTCATTTATCTTTAAAGAAAATTACTCGAATAATGTAGTTTCTGATGAGAATATGTTAATCTAAAATGAATTCATATCAATACTTAAATAAAGGAAAAAGTAAGTTAAAATGATTTACTTAACTCTTTTCCTTTATGACTTCAAATTATGATTCTATTTATATATGTTAATTATTTCTGAATATTGAAGAGGGTATACAACCGATCCAGATGGAAATTTTACTAAAGATAGGATACAAAAATAAGGAAACTAGTATTCCACAGGACCCGCTTACAATTCTCGAGTAGCTTTATCTGACGTGGCTCAAATGGTGTTGTTCGAATACCTTAGATTATATCTCAGAGGTGATTTTATGAGACGAATACGCAGAGATTTGGATCCAAATCCAGGGTGCTGGTGTTCAGAGCTCGGTAAATCTGGATCGGAAGATCAAAAACGAAAACGGCCGATTTCACATTTGGAAAATACTTCGAAGTATTTTTCATTGAAATTTCAGCCCGATCAAACAAAGTTCGACGAGAATCGTAGGCAATCTTGACGTGGTCCTCTGAAAAACTTTGTTTAAAATTTTTTCTCGAGCATATGCCCCCTGATTTTGACATACTTTATCTTTAGTAAAAATTTCATGTGAATCGATTGTATGCTCTTCGAGGAGATTGAATCTTTGTTTTGCTTAAAAAGACTAGGAAATTCCAAAAATATTTTGATTTCCACTAGTGCATGTCTACGAACATATATGCTTGGAAAAAAGTTGTTGCAGCTTTTGTTTATAAATTAAGTGGTGGACATTATTTTAAGACAATTTTAATATTTTGCATTTTCTGTTCTAGTGATTTTATGCTCTTAATTTTGAAAAAACTTTTTCTCACATTTTTCTACAGCACATACAAAAATTGGTATGTCCGAAATACTTGCCATAAGTGCACAAATGTGAATCTTGCTAAAAATGCAGCAACAAAAACTGCCATCTATCGAACAAAATTTATCTTGTTTATAACTATCGAACGTAGAAAACTGAAAGACATGTCATTTTCTAGAGGAAGTTTTCCTCTACCTCCTTCAGTCTAATTACAAAAGATATAACAAAAATTGAATGAAGACAAGATATGACGCTTTTTATTGGTATACATTATCAAGATTCACATGTGTGCACTTTACGTATTTCAGACATACCAATTTTTGTATGTATCATAGAAAAATCGATAGATAATGAAATTAAATTGAAAGCCGATGACTCATCACAAAGGATAATTGCCAAAGGATCCATTCTCAAATAAATTTTTTTTTCGCACAAGCATTACAATGTGACCGAAAAGTTTTTTCAAAATGAAAAGCACAAAATTTTGTATCAATTGATGTTTGTTTCATTGTTGTTAAACAAAATTATTAGATCAGAAAATGCAAAATATTAAAAAGGGCTTAAAATTCTATCCACAACTTTATACAGTTATGCCTGTATTCACCAAGGAATTAGCAGAAGTTCTTGCATAAATGGTTTAGATAAAACTATGTTATATTCTTATTGTAGTAGCAAAAAAAATCGAAATAAAATAAAATATTATAATGACTTATTAAGATTTAATATTACGAGATCAAGTAGTTACTGTGTATATTCTTTTATCAATTTTAAGAGTTAAGTAGCAAATTTTAAGTTAGTTTAAAGTTGAGGTAAACGTTTCATCCACATAACAGATGATGATTGATTTTTAAAAATTCCAGTCATATCTACGCACTAATTTCTTACTTGTTAGTCGATATAATATTTGTTTTAATGCTTCGTTCGAAAGGTTTACCGTGAGAGAGGTGACAAGCTATACAGAAAAAACCAACAAAATTAAATGATACTCACGTCTGTGTTCTCACGAAAGAAAAGAAGAAAGAAAAAAAAGCTTGTTCGTCTCGAATAAGGTGTATGCAATTCAAAATTTGCACACGATTTTTTTGCTTTGTTATGCTTGATTGGAGAGAACACGTGGATTTACCTAGAAAAATTGTCTCTTCAGTTTTTATAAGTAGATTTTTCTAAAAAAAACTTTCGAAAAATCTCGAATTTCAGATGACACTACAAAATATGTTCATTTTTTCATAATATCGCGAATAAAATTATTTTATTTCGGTTTGGTAGATATAACTAAATTAACAAAAAAAAAGTAATTTATTTGAGCTGTTAAAATATTAAAGTACATATGTGGTTTCTAATGTGATTCGAAATATTTTGCTTCTCTCAATAATGTTAAATAGACTTTTTTGCTTTGATTTCTTGCTGAAAAATATCACTTTTTTCGTAAGAGTAACGGCACAATAAAAACTCTTCTTGCGTTGACAAATTTTGATCATCCAAAATTGAAAAATAAGGAAAAGAAATATGATATTCAAAATCAACAGGAGAAACTGTGTCAAACAACATACATACTATTACAAACTATTTTTCATCGAAGTTCCACCTGAAGAGAATGACAAAGACGAAATGAATCGGAAAAAGTCAAGACTAGAGTAAAGATCGAATTTTGATGCAAGATAGTTTCTTATGAAACTTATGGTTTTTGACACAGCTTCTTATGCTGAATTCGAATATCAAATTTTTATTCTCAACATTTCGAAACATGAAAGCAGCTTCTATTCTTGTGATACTGATATTGAAAAAATTATCTTTTTCAATAAGATATCAAACCGAAATAAAAAGGCTACTTTACATTTCTCAGAGGAATAAAATATTGACTATCATATTAGAAAAGATGAGGGAGCTTTAAAAATAAAATAGTTGGTCCCTTTGGGAATTCTGATGAAAACATTTCTTAGGAATCGCTAGGATTCAAAATATATTATAATTACAGGGTATTTCAACAGTCTCAATAAATCAATTGTTTTTAATTATGCGGTGCGAAGTGGAAAAGATTATTACACTTACACAGAACGAACAAAATCATTATATTCACGGTTGTATGAAAAATTAACGTGTTTTCTGAAGCTTTGTTTCGAAGAACTCAATTTTAAAAATTGATGAGGCATTGTTTCGATGGAACACAATACTCTCTATTCCAGCATGCATAAACACAGACGACAGATATGCTGGGGAGGTTTTGAGTTTATCGCATCGTACAATAAATGCTGAAAGGATTCTCTCTCAAAAGTAAAATTTTTCGACAATTGACTCACTGAAATTGAAATAATTATCTGAAAGTTATGATGCGATGAAATTACTGAGATGGTAATAGGACTCACCAGATAGTTTGAAAGCTTTGAATAGTCATGAGACTATTCTCAAATCTGTAATATTTTGTTAGACAGTTATTGGTAAGAAGAGTGATTATCGACAGAATTTTCGAACAACAATTGAAGCATAACAATTTGCAGTGTGATTGTGAGTGTGATTGAAGCGGAGATGTAGACCCATACCCATACTCACTCGTTCTTCTCTCATTGCTCAGAATATGAAGTAATAGAACGATAAAATTTTGAAACATGAACAAGTTCGTATATAATTGGATTTTATTAACAAATGTCTGCTTTTCTGCCCAAGATAAGATTTGGAAAAGTCAAGACAACGAAAAAGTATTCGACCAGCAATATTTATTTCATAAAACTACGTATTTCATTTCCATCAGTACTTTATTTTTCAATATTTTTGAAAAATATAATGTGTTCAAGTAAAATTCAAGATTTGTAACTAAAAAAACCGGCGCTATTTCATATACTATGCTATTCTCTATGATACAAAAGTTGTTTATCTTATCTTCCTTCACTTTAAAATTATGAATAAAAATAGAAAAGATGCTTTGAAAAACAATAAAACATGATCGTTATCGTTAAAAATATGTGTTACTAATAGAAAGACATCGATAATATTATTGACAAGAAGTTTTTATTAAATTTCAAAAATAATATCTTTTCTCATACCTTTGTGTGATTTAACATCTACTGAAGGTCATGTTTATAGATAAAAACAGAGCTAAGAGGTGTAAGAGAGAATGTCACAATTAATGAAAACAAAAAGTATTTTAGAGGACGAGAAAAGAGAAGAGACGAGAAATTGATGAAGAAAGAACAAGAAAATAATTTGAAGATAATTAATTGAGATTAAGGCGACGAGAACACGAAAAGTTAGTGTTAATACAATCTTAAAAGAAAGGTTGCATAACTATCAATTTAACAAGACAATACTTCAACAATGGCTTCATACAAGGTTAGAATTCTACACAAGCAAATATATATATATATATATATCTGTATAATATTCGAATCTATAGTGACCCGATTAATTCTTCGAAAAAGAGCATAATAGTAACTTCATTCTATCAGATATTTCAATCGAATAGTTGAGATCTATTTATTGAGCGGTTCTGTTTTTGAATGGGTGCTTGCATAGCCATCCATGTAACAGCTGATAATCGGTTGGTCACCAATGAAAAACTATGGTCAGCATCGACTACTGATGTTATTTACAAGAAAAAACTTATCATATGTTTTATTTAGAAAGGCAATCTCTTTTTATGTCCAAATCTATTTTTTATAGCAAACGAAAATCAGTCTTATAACGGGAGAAAATATAACATGCCCGGCAGACGTACATTATTAGATACGGTCGTAAATGGCGATGAAATGACATAATAGGAAGCGGATGTTGAAGAAAGAATGTTAGTGCGACTACCGAATCGGTTCATTTGGTTTCGAGCGACATAAGTTGTCGAACTCATACGTTTAATTGATTGCGCTACCGGATCAGGTTGTGTTGGTATTCGATTAGCAGATACTATGTATGCGCGGCCTATGGATTTTTCGAACCGCAATGGCAGAAGGTTTCTCTTGCCGAGTGGAGCCGATATGCATAAATCACCTTTGGGTGTCCATTGAATTGTTGTACCAAGACGTTCAAAGATCATATCACCATAAATTGAGACAAGTACAGGAATATCACTTAATTGAAGATGAATCTTTGATTGACGGAAAAGATTCGACAGTAAAAGCACATCAACACCACCATACCAGTCCGTAAAACGAGTCGGCGATCCGATAGCCAGCCAACATTTGTCTTTATAAATCGAAAAACTCTGTCCAAAACGATCTTTTTCTTGCGTGCCCGAGAGAGTAAGAATGAGACGGGGTTTAGGTTCAAACGAGTACACGAAAAGTTTACCCTTGTTGGCTGGTGCGCTGATCATGAGAGCTGGAGAGGTCACACTGTCGATGCACGATGGCGGAATAATTTCAAGTGAATAGCCGAATTTCGATTTCGCTGCTTCACCCCAAATGGTAAACGATGCATCGGCAATAGTTAGTTCATCATTCGATAAATGATTGTCAGAGCTCAAGAAGATCCAGACAGCTCCTTGCTGTGGTTGATTATAGCCGTTCGGTTGAGCGTATGGACTGGTAATGATCAAATCAAGTCGATTATCGTTATCCAGATGTGCCGTATATAGTGCGAATCCGATCGCATCATGTTCATGCACTCCATCAATACGCATATATGGTAGAGGTTGAAGACCCTGTGCACCACCGACAAACACAAATACTGCTCCACGGAAGCCGAATCCGTGCGACGGACTGCTAACGACTAGATCATCAAATCCGTCGTTGTTCCAATCGAGACGAGCCAATGCTGAACCGAATCGATCACCATCACATTCTGGCGAAATAAGTGTTTGATCGGCAAGTCTTTCAATAATCGAAATTTGGCGCTCGGGTACAAGAGGACGATTCGCTTGACCATAGATAATGAATACTCGTCCACCTTGTACACATCCAAGTACATAATAATCGGGTGCTGACACGACAAGATCGGTAAGTCCATCACCGTTAAAATCACCGAAGAGTGTTGCATGACCAAATGCAGCATAGCTTTGATTTGAAATGAGTCCAGTTGGAATTTCAGTGTTGTCAAATGTTGACAATAACGGAAGAGCATTGTCTGAAGACGGTAAATAGTCTGAAGGTGTCGATCGAACGTATGATGTCAATTCTTGCTGTTGTTGATGGGTGACATGATGAGGAATGGCACAATTCAAATAGTATGGATTATTACCAGTCAATGTACAAATATTTGTCCCATGTTCGTACATTGCAATTATCTGATCCCAATATCGAACTGTCAGTTGAGCCATATTTGGCAAACCGCCATAATAGTATTCATGCAATTGATCGAGTAGAAAACTATTTTCATGTGAGTATGTAGGATATTGAAGACCGAGAAGAAGAGCATCAGCAAATCGTCCAACGAACATAACATTGGAACAGGTCTGAACACGTGTCGCAGTAGCATCGTTTTCAAGTGATGAGTTATAGGCGATAGCATATCGTGCATAGATCTGTTCAAGTTCCTTGCTTGGAATAAACCACTTATCAATAAGCCCTAGAAATCATAGAAAGAGCAGTTTTTGAAAAAAAAACATTCGTTGCTTGATCTTTTACCTATATAACCGATCGGTAACTCATAATTAATAACACTATCACCGCCTGTATCATCACTTGAATGTGCCATTTCTCGATTGCCATTGAAACTCTCCCAGGCTGTTGCATCGATAAATCCATTCGGACAACCTGTTAAACTTCCATGCCATACAGCATCAGCTATTTGATGGGAGGCCGCACCAAGTAGAAATACGAGTAACTTTTGTCCATCAATATCATCAGGTCGTAGTGGTGGTGGATGTCGATCGCGCATATATTCAATGGCGATTTTTATGAATGGATACCTAAATTATGAATAAGATGGTAACTATCATAAAAACGAAACAATCGATTCTTCTTACCAATGGGTATCTTCGGCCACTTGATTTAAACTACCGCCGTAACACAAATTATTGTACATAACATCAGGATATGGAGATCCTCCTTGTAATGCATCTAGATGTTGAAGAACATATTGTCGATAAACAGGCTGATGTAGCCAAAGATCTTGAGCGCGATGTGAAACTTCGATGTGTGTAGTAATGCCACATCCGAACACAACGTACGGTAATGAGAGAATAAATAATACGAAATTGATTAACATGCTATTATTTTACATTCAATTTGTCTTTGATATGCTTTGCAGGAGCGCTTCTTATAACGATGATTTGATGATCAATATTAGCAGATGGCAATAATTCTCACAAATGGTCGATCAACGGTTAAAATGCCTGTTTGATAAAAATCCCATCGTATGTTCTAGGACAATATTACCTAGTCCGAGCTTTCAAAATTAAATAGATCGAAAAGCATCTGATAAGAACAGCAAATAAAGCAACCTTTCTTATGCCAGGTGTCGAAGCTGCACATAGATGCAGAACAATAACGAACAAGAGAAAGTAAAAATGATATGAAGATGAGTAGAGAGAAACATCGAAATATAGCATGTTAACGTGTTCTCTTTACACAGACATTGAAGAAAGGAACGAAGGGATAAACAATGACTAACAAACGAATTTCGATCTTCAAGTCGTACAGTTTCATAAAATCTCATTGACAACGCTTGCTTTGTCTATCCGAAAGTTTCGTAGTCGTATGTGCTATTCGATTCTCAACAATTTGATCATTTGCGGACAAAATGAGGACATATCTTTCCTGCAACATTCAATGGACGTGCAGAGGTCACGAAAAACATATCTATAAAAAAGACACAAAGTTGTGTTATGTCACCTTATTTGCTTCTGTTGTTTTTGTTGATAGTCAAATGAAGGGTAGGATTTAGCTTGCTCTTTAATTCTTACAAATGATGGGTCTTTACTAAACAAAAAAGATCAACTTCTAGAAGATAATTATGCATGGCATGTCAGATATTTCGACATGGTAGATTTTAGGACCCATTATATATATAATGAAAATTGCCCCATTGTCTTTTGCATTATAAAGCTTTCTATACCAGAATGATTATTCTACCAAAACTACTGTTTCAGAACATCGATCTATGTGACTCGTCAAATGAATGATTTGAATAGTGTATATTGATATCATTTTGTGGTCGATTTTTTTATTTAATTGTAAGCAAATATCGATTGCATCGACAAATGAAAGAAATATGATAAGTTATAGCACAAAGAGAAACTGTGAATAAATAATTTGACAGATATGTTTGCTCCTGATTGAGTCAAGATCGAATTTCTCTGATCTTCGAATTCGGATCCATTCTAAACTCGTTTCGATCGACTGATAAATCACTCAATACCAGCATTTGTTGAGCAGAAGAAACACGATAAGCAGCGATTCTTCATTAAAATACAATCGAGATTCGTCAAAAGTCTTCTGGAAACTCAAAGATGAACAAACATAGATGGTCTTTTCGAAATTTATTCAAACAAATTAGCCAGTGGCTTCTAGGATGTGAGTGTGGATGGGTGTGGATCCTCAGTCAATTTACTCCGACAGTCATACCCACGCCCTGAAATATATTCAAAATGAACATGTTCACTTTGAATTAATTGTATAAAGCTCCAAATATTCAGGTGCTTCCTTGACAATCTAGTTGCAAATCGAATGTTATAAGCTGAAGTACAAATAAGGGTATGGGTGTGGGTAAGAGAAAAGGTAAAACTCACACCACACACCCAGATCCACACCCTGAATTGCCTTTATTTGATGTAGCGAACAATGTTTGAAACTGTTGAGTGTTAGATGAACTATATACAGAAGCTGTTGTTGTGGTCATTTAGATTATATATATGTGTTTATTATTAAAAAAAATTTTATCATTCACAGAAGAATAAAATGCGCTGGTCGACGGATGACCAATTGCAAATAAAAACATCGAATTTTCTACTGATATCTAATAAATTACTCAATGTATTTGTTTCTTATAATTTTCTTTCCTTTCGTATTTTAACGTTTACATTTTCGACATTTTCCTACAACCCCATCTATACGTTAGGAAGAAATTTTTTGTTTCAGTGGTGGATTCTGTACCGACCCCTGGGCTTCCGTTAGTTTTCAAAAGTCGTTTCTGACAAAGCCAGTGCATATTGTGCCAGTAGCAATGGTAAAAAAAAGGAGTGATTGATCAGTACACTGAAACGTATCAACAATTGTGTTAGCAATCAAAACAGCTGGAGAGGCTATATAACTTTTTTGAAACTTTGAATCATACACTTAGTTCAAGATTATTAGTGAAAGAAACAAAAAGAAAACATTGTGAAAATACTGGGTTATTGTCAGAGATTTTTCGCATTTCATATATGGTTTATTCATGCGATGATTGTCGATGACTAAGCAGTAGTATTCCTAAATTAAAAAAAAAAGAAATACAGAGTGCAATCATCCAACAATGGAAATCAGCGTTACTTACTTGTGTATTAAACTTAGCATCCGTCCTGCTATGTGTATGCCATCAGCTAATGGTTCGATTATGGATTTTCTAAAGAGTAGAGAAAAACAATATAAAAATCGTATCTCGAAGAGTCAACAGTGTCGAGCTTTACGGTTTTGTCACAGTTTTCAAATTTTTTCGATACTTTAATTCAACGAGCGAGCGGGCATGTTTGTAAGTCGCTTCATATTCAAAACCGTCATCAGTGATACCATTGGAGCTATCGGTCTCGAGCTCTATGAATAAATTAATAGAGACAAATGCATTTATGCTTTTCGGCATATCATTAATGTGAACACCTACTGAAGGTGCGAAACAGGGGTTCCTCGGACTTTCTCACGATCATTACGATTTTGTTGATCAACAGCAGGATGTAGACAAGTAACGAGAGTGGTGGATAGGCCAGAATCGGTTTTTCATAATACTCGCGAACTATTCTGTATCGTTGTCGATGCCAATGATATTTGCTGTGTTCTTTGACATCGTCAATCTCATGGCTATGTCCAATATGAAAATGAATCATATGACAAGCGATAGAAAACAATAGGCTTTTGATTGCTCACCCAAAAACAGAAATCAGTAAATTTAAAATGAGGATATTGATAAAGATCATATGAAAAGCCAGAAGTATGTGATGAACAGTGGCTTCAGATATTTGGTCTGCAGTGCTCGTATTCGATTCAATGATATCTATTTGTGTAATACGAAACAAAAATAAATACTAGATATCTCGAATCAATCTTTTTTTTGATCGAGAAGTGATTAACTTACTGTTAAGGTTTGGTATTTCACTGTTATCTATGTTATATAGCAACCAATACGAACGAAAATAGATGGCTTTAGCAATACTTTGACCCGTGAAGGTCAGATTACCATATGATGTGAGTGAGGTTGAAACGACCCCGTAAGCAGATCCACAGACAAATATAATGTATAGAAAGGCTATTAGAACGATGCCCTAAATGTTTCGAATGCAGTTATGATGTTAATACAATCTATCGAATCATGATTGCTCACCATTCTTCGAATCATGTACAGTTTAGGTCCGAAAAATTCGAATGCACTCAAAAAGCGCAACGATATAAGATAGTACCATTCGAGATTGATAGCTAACACGATTCTATACGAATAACAGTCAGTATAAAATAAATAGAATTGATAAGTTAAATAATTATACGTACCTGGCTTCGCTGAATATGTGAGGTTGATCGGATCCAGAAAACATTAGGCCAATACCAGTATAAAAAAATATATAAGGTGTTACATGCATTATGAATTTTCGAACTAATATCGGAATCAATTCTCGACTATTTCTGTGTTGCCAATGTTCTAACATTTGATGCGTATACTCTAGCCAAGACTATATTTGCACCACAGAATATATTGAGTATCGAAAATGATTGGAAATTTGATAGACTTACCTCACGAACATCCTCAATGAGCATTGCTAAGACAGTTACAATGACATATACTTTAGTCCAATGGATTCTTTCGTTCGGTGATTTCATATGAAAAAGCATCATATAACTGAATGAGAGCAGGAAAAATATGTATAACAACTAGAATGATCAATAAATTTGATAGGACAGAGTAAGAGCCGATGCAGAATACAACTTACGAAGTGATACAGCAATTTAACTGATGGACTAGAGTGAAATTTCACTACGGCCAAACAGTATTTCTTTATCTTCTTTCTAATCGTAGGCGCATTGCTAGAGTCCTGACTGGCTTGTTTGCTAAAACGAAGAGGGAGTGGCACATTTAACGGTGAGACTAGCGAAAACTTAACTCATGTTCTAAAATATTTTACCTAGGGACTATTTGAAAACACTGTGCAAAACCAGATATCAAAAATAGACAGAAGTGCTTACTGTCCGATTTTCATCCATCTTTAAATGTCATTTAAACATAGTCTATTAGTGGTAAGACCCAAGAGAAATCGTTTCGTAACAAAATCAGACTACATTAGCATGATAGAGTGTTTATTATACCTGGAACATTGATGTTTATGACAAAATTATCAATGTCAAAGCTTGATGGGGCATAATTAGTATGCCATATAAGTAGCTTTGAATTTCAAACTATGTCGATCGATTGTCCATTCTGACAGCTATCTCGTACATAACTGCCAATTTGAACTGGAAAATATCGATGTATTAAGAATCAGACATGATCAATCTTGAGCTTTACGTAAGAAATGGATTCGTATTTGAAACGTTTGGCTGTCTTGCTTTTTTTGAATGCAAAATAAATGTGACATTTAGCAACAATGTCCAAAACTTAGTCTGTCAATATTTGTTTTACTGGAAAGTATATTTTCCGTTGAAAACTACACCTATATCGCTCTCAACTGCTGCATATACTAGTTTTGTGAAGTTAAAATTTTTGAAGAAAAATACTTTCCCGTAACACACATATTGTTTGACTCAGTGTTACGCATTAATGACGAATATCACATTGATTTTGCATCCGAACAAAAGTACGATAACCAAACTTTCAAAATACGATTCCATTTTCCTAAGTAAAGCTCAACATTGATCATGTCTGGTTCTTAACGTTTCAACACTTTCAAGTTCAAACTGAAATTTTAAAATGAGATGACTGACATATTTTTCAGGTTAAAACTACTTATATGTCATTGTAGTTATGCTTCATCAAGCTTCGGTATTGATCATTTTGTCATAAACATCAATATTACAGGCATCTTCTACACC